GCCGGCCGCAGAAGCTGTGTGAAATCCCAGTCAGAGCTCGGAAGTCTCACCTCAACCTGCTGCTGTGAGAAGAGCAACACTGAGCAACCGCGTGCAAAGGGACACCGCCGTGCCCCAGACACAATCTAGCTGTCGCTGTTAACACGAGCATTTTGCAGTTACTTTACATCCACAACCAAGGCAAGCTGCAAGCTGCCTCACAGTCAAGGCTTACTCCTTTCTTGTAAGAAAAATGTTACTAGAAAACAGCCATGTAGTCAAAACCCTGTAATATTTTGTCTTAGTTTATTTTCTTCCTTATCAGAGAGTCTCCCCCAAAAAGACTTGCTGAAACATTGCCACACCAGTTGGCCAGTTAACCAAATGCCAACATTTTACATATATATGGATAGTTACCAGGCTTCCTGACAAAGCCAGCAGACCACTGAACAACATATCTGTATCTGCATTTATCTGCTATCTGCTAGAAAACATCCATATTCAAACACACACGACAGCTCTACTTCAGCAGCATTAAACAAGCTCCACACACAACCTGAAGTTAGGCTGCACACAGCTCCATCTTTTCAGCTCCTCATCTGCATAATTGAGCTAAGAGATTCCCACTTCATTCTCCTGCAATTATCAGAGTAGTTACCAGAAGGACTGGAGCTGGGAATGGAGCCATGGTGGGATCGTCCAGTCAGAAATGGGATCAGAGAGAGAAGCCGACTGGTGAAAAAGATCTACACTGGGAAAAACTGTGAAGAAGGTGCAGTGCTGGGCTGGCCCTGGGCTGGCCTCTGGTATATTCTCTGTGACCTCAACACAACTGCCTGCTCATACTTGGCTTCTTCCTCAGGGTTTACCACCCCTCAGAGAAGCTAGGGACACCTTGAAAAGCTTTCCAGAATTTGTCAGGCTCACAGGCTGAGGAGAGATTAACCAAAAAAGGACATTACAGAAACTTGAAGCCATGACTTGAACGATTCCAAGATCGATACAGCAAGTCCTTATTATAAATTTCCGTTAAAGTCTGTGGAAAATTCTCCAAATGCAGTAAATAAATGAAATATCAGTTCCACAGTTTCTCTAAATTCTTAATTTTCTGCGTCTTTTAAAAGATATATATATTTTTTTTTTTAGGTAAAAGATCAGCTTCAAAAATCAATGGGTTTAGGTTGAAAGAAAGGTACCTAGAAGCTATTGGAGCTGACTCTAAGACAGTTTTTTCTTCCCCCCATCTTAGGCTGGCTAAATTTATGGTTCAATTTCAAAAATTGAGAGCAGAAACATATGTGAAAGCATGCCAGCAATTACTTTTCAGCACAGTCATTGACTCCCTATGTAAATCAGAGGCTCACAGGTACAAGTGGCTTGGTCACGGCACTAAGAGGTATCTCGTTGCCTGAGATACCAACTCTTGTGCTCGGAGGCTCCGAGTCATCACCAGAAACAGCTTATCATGGGGTAGATCTAGTGGGTTTGAACCCTAGCCTGTGTCTCTTTCGTCTGCAAGGGTCTCATCTCTGCTACAGGGATGTGGCAATATTTTGCATCACTGCTCAATCCCCAGGCTGTATGGCTGATGGGAGCCTCACCTCCTAATGCAGGGACCAACTCCAGGGCGAGGGACCAGCTTCCTGCCCTGCGCCCAGACAGAGACAACCCCTGTCAGGGGCTGAGCCCTGCTCCCCCACTCCAAGACTGCAGGTAGAAAACCTGGTTGCAAAGAGGGTTTTTCTGCAGCTCCTCCAAGTGCTTTGGCAGCTTAGGAAGCTTGTAAACAGCAGGACAGATAATAAGAAAACTGACTCAGAGGGAAACATCTCATGTCCTCCTGCAACTGAAGATGAACAGTGCTGGTAAACAACAGCAGCTAGATAGCTGAGTGATAGGGTAGGACAATAAAATAAAGTATCTTGAGAGCAATAACGTTTACAATAATATAATTCTGAGCTACTGAAGTATACACAAACTAACCAGTGAGCAACATTATAAAAAATAAAGTGATACTAAATAATCTGTTCAGCCTTTTTGTCACCTGCAACAAATTAGGCTTTCAATATGCAAAACATCTTCCTTCCAGAATAACAAATGATCATTATTTCATTTAATTGTAATTTAATGAGGCATAATGTATTTTTTAAAGTGATATACACCAGGTGTGTGGTGAGGAAACTGGCCCAGCCAGACAAACCCTACTGTTTCTATTTTTGAGAAAACCCTAAAGCCAGCCAGGGACTGTTTTCATTTCTGCAAATTATGTTTCTGCTGGAGGGGTGAGGGAGGGAAACCCACAGCATTTGTACATTTGTTATAAAATTCCATTGGCTAGATCAGCTCATTCCGACTTACTTACATCTCACATATTAAAAAAAAAAATATTAAATTGGCAGTTTGCAGAGTAACCAACTCTGCAAACCTAAAAGAGGAGCTTCAGGGACTAGAAAGTCTCTGACTGATTTTAAATAGCCAAACGGATCTTCTACAGTGAACACAGCTCTCAGGATACATTTTAGGACATGTAGCTTGATAATATCTCTGCTTTCCCACTCTTGTGCATCATTTTTAAAACAGTTGCTAAAGAGGCAACTGATGAAAAGTTTAATGTTCACAGAGGCTGTGCTCGCAAACGAGGTGTGAGCTCACCCCAAGACAAGGACTCTGCGCAGGCACGGTTTGGTTTACCCTTGGAACTTGCACCATTTCTAAAATTACACACTGGATCCATAACTGACTTTAAAGAATAATAACCAGTGGTGGAGAAGGGAGCACATGTCCAATCAAAACAAAAAAGTTGTTGGGCCTATTTAAGGTAGGAGTAATTTTGACTGTGTTTTCAAACTATCTGAAATGTAGTCCTTCAAGCCAGCAAAGTCACTGTCGTGGGGGTTTGCTTTGCACTCATTCTATTAAACCCCATTTGTGAACTCTTTTATTTTTATTAACTACAGGATTTCTAGGACAAACAACCCAAACCTCATGGGTAAGGAAGCTTTTTTTAAGCAACTTCTGAAAGACAATGCAGTACAATGTAGAGTGACTGTTGTTCAAACTGACGCCGACATCCAAAGGACCAACTGACCAGACTTTTGAGGCCAACACAAAGGCTTGACGAAAGCCCACAGAAGGCGAGTGTAGCCTTTCTGCCTTCTTCCCAAAGGGCTTTGGCTCAGGCCTGGAAAGGGCGTAAATGAGATCTCAGTGGGACAGCAGACTGCACTACCAGTGACCAAAGGCAGGACAGTTTTGTAACCAGAGCTTTTCAAAAGCAATCTGTGTAGGGGTGAGGAGGCCATGCGAGTGCAGCCCAGACAACAATGTCACGGGGACAGAGAAGGATGAGGGCTGTCAGGCAGCACAAGACTTGCAAGCACTAGCCAGGACCACACAGGCATCCGGTCCCGTGACTTGGGTGGGAGCTGTGCTCCCCTCGTACAGACCTAAGCAATGTGTCTACAAGAGCAGGCACTCAGGTTAAAAAGGTTCAAACCAGGCTTTGGACAATCAAAACGCTGGCCAAGGCAAAAACCTAAATAAACCCAACTAATGTGCTAAACCTCAGTTTTTACGGTCTGTATAAGGAGATTATATATACGAAGGACTAAAACAGCATAAACACTTTTTTCATACTTTTGGTTTATTTGTGCCTCTCCATACTTCAGCCATTGCCAAAAGCAACAGAGAAAATGCTGAAATACTAGAAAAATATTGCTCCTGTAGTAGTTAAAGCTCCAAGTACTTTAAGCCCAGTACTTGTAGCTGACAGTCTCAATAGAAAAGGTATTCTTCTTCCCATCAGGTATAGATGC